CATTAATATGTACGCAGATAAATAGACGCGTCACATCTATTGTCTTGAGACAAATGTATCTACTATGAATATTTGTATGTATGTATGTATATAAATATGGACCGCGCTGTGAGGAATGTTCTAGAAGAAAAGTGTGAGCCATTGTCGAAGTAATAAACTAATTTGTAATAATCTGTTAGCCATCCAAAATAAAACCCTAATATAAAATTAACAGTGTAAAATTTGAAAACCCTGCTTAACGTGGTATTCTCGAGTGGTAGTGTTTCAATTTTTGTAATTGTTAAAAAGTGATTTTTAATTATCGTAAATTTGTTACATAGAGCAATTATTTACCCAAGGAGATGTGGGCTTTCTTTGAAAATTTGAAAAGAAGAGAGAATTTTGCAACGAACGTAAAATAAATCGGACGTTCAGCATCGAAGTAAGCAGCTTCAAAGATGGCTACGAACCTGAACGTAGCTGCGTTCCAATTTTTACGAATCACGGTTCTTAGCATCGATCGAGGAAAGGTTAATTAACTGCATCGCTCCTCTCGATCGATTCCACGTCAAACCAGTAAGATCGAGGCACGCTCTTTGCCTCTACGGTTTTCATCCGAGATCGAAAATAAAGAGTTGCCCCAGCTGCTATCGGTCAATAACTGTCGTAGCGCGAGGGGTGGGGCTCGATCGCGAAGGGGTAGGAGCCACACAGTGCACGTACCACTCGTAATTCGAAACAACTAGGCTATAAATTAGTGCTTGGCTATTGCGCCGGCACGGAGCGAGAGAGATAGAGGGAGCAATTATTTTCTTTGGACGCCATATTTCAGTTCGAACGTCTTAATAACCGAGGATAGCTTCTAGACGAAACCGACCGTTTATCCGAGAGAAATGGAGAAAGGGTAAGAAGGCAGAGTAGGAGAGGCTGATGCGAAGGAAAGCGAGCGAAGAAAAGGGCAAAAACAAAAGGGACAGAAGAGATTCATCCGCGTTTGCCTTTAAATCTCAAAACCTCATCTTCCACGTTCCGGTTCTTTGATTCTCATTTTCTCGTTTCAGCTACTGACCGTTCGAGGAAAAGGCAGTTTATGTGTAAGAACGGTTTATCGACCACCATGATGTCTTCATGCAATTACATCGTGGCTGTACACAACCTAGGCTGGTTTCGTTAGCGATCCGGACTATCAATCTTCGACGTGCTGATTAATGATCGTTAGAATAGTAATCGTTAATTATTATGCGCGCTTAGGGCGTTGACGGTGTCGAGAAACGGGAAAGCAAAAAATCCTCGTTGTTTAGACATTAATATTACTTATCGACGACGTTCGAGCCGAGTTTGAATCTTGCTTTCATCTTTTCGTTCACAAAAATTTACAAAATTTTCTTTATATTAAATCGATAGCGTTGAAGTAGTGAAAGTGGAGATTCAGAGTTTGCGAACAATAATAATTGGTATAACGAAAACAATTTTACATTTGGTAAACAGTTGCAACTGTTCCACCGGGATCGTTGTAGCCCTCGATCTTTCTGGGGTTAAAGGTCACTTCGCGCAGTTCTTCTTCGATCAGAATTGGTTTCAATCGTTGCAAAAGAGACGATAATAAAAGGTTCGGATAGCGTAAGGTTCCGATCATAGAGGATCGATGATGGAGGCTCCATTGTACATCGATACGTAGTCAATGATTCGAATCACGTTCCAAGAATCGAAACGAAATTAATCGAGGCGATTTTCTCGTGGTGATCGTTACTCCGGCACGTCCGGCGGATATTACGTATATCGCTTCATAAGGTGCATGTTGTACAATTAATACTGGCCATATTTTCCTTCGGTTTCGAGAGACGTATTACGCGAACGAATTGCCATCTCAATTGCTGGGGAATGGGGTAACAGGAAATCCTCCCTTCGCCATTTCTTTCCACTGCTGGCGTATTATCCAATACGAATCATCCGATCGATCGACCAGAAATACACCGACGAACGGATCAATTAATATTTTCTATTTAAATGCAAAGTGACGGGATGTAAAACCGCGATAGAAATAGTATTTACCCGTAAATGGATTATTGGCCCTCTACAAATTTAAAATAATTGTTTAATATATGTCAATGTAGTTATTTGAAAATTTATGTAATCTTCCATTAGTTCATTATTTTTTAAATGTTTTAAAGGAAAGTTGATTTCCATTTACCAGTTTGATAACAATCAATATTAAGAAAAATAATTCAGTTGAGATTGAGAGTTCACTTACCTAAGTAAAGTTGTGATAGGGTGAAAGTATTGGAAAACGGTTAAAAAAAAATTAATTTAATAATTTCATTATATAATATTAAATACGAAGACACGATTTAGAAATATGTAATGTTAAAGATCACACAAAAAGACACTTTTATGGAACCGAAATTTATTTTTAACTCAAAACACTAACACTGACAAGTAATAATTGTACCAAACGCTAGACGTGTCACCAATGCGAAAGTTCCTGAAACTGGAACTGTGGCATCGTGATCGACCAGGGCCTAGTCCTAAAATCCCCTCCCCGTTATCCCTACTCAACAACGCGTCGCGACGTTGAATCATTCTTAGATACACAAGGGTAGGTCGAGCTATCAGACGTTGAAAACTTGTTCTAATGATAATTTTAATTTATAATGGGGAAATATCTTACAAGGAAACATGTAGAGTATTTTATTTTTCGCTTCTTTTTTTAGATATTTATCAGGAGTCAATTATTTTATAACTAAGGCAAATTCTTGAATTTTGATCACATTTCTAATAATTAAAGTTTTGAGAGGATGCACGGGGAAAAGGAATGTCTACAAGCATCTGGAAAACGAGATCTTTTTAGGATCGGGGAAAAGTTATGGCGGAACTACCCGTCGCGTATTGGAGCTAGTCTCCCGGGGTGCAGTCGCGATAATAAATATCATTCGAGTCGAGGGGGCCCGTTATCGCGGAATCTAAGCGTGATCATATCTAATAATAATCAGCAACCGTTTTACGACGGTTGCTACACCATAAACACAGCATCCAGCCGGCCAATTAACATTCTGCAACTAAGAAACGCACACGTCCGCGTGACATGCACGCTTCAGGGGAACAAAGAGACAAGGAAACCTAACTTTCGTCGTTTCTGTTCGCGAGTCAGGCAACTGGGGAAATAAAAAAAAAAACCAAGATCGTATCTCAAAAAATAACGACCAGAAGTTATGCGAAAGAATTTAATAATGTTTACTTATTTTACTAGTCCGACAATTGGAATTTGTAATTACCTAAGAATTTGCAAAAATAAACAGAATCTTGAAACATGATAGCTCGTATAATTTTCATTATTTTTACTCGATAAAAATACAACATCGGTAAATATAATGCTCCGGTACAAAGCAACATACAATTTGTTTTTTTAAATAAAATAATAATAATCGTAAGTCCAGAGTGCACTCTCGATTAAAAAGGGATCTTCGTTTCCGGGAAAACGGGTCGTATTTTTCTGAAGATCGCTGGATCGACGCGTCGTTGGATCAGAAACGATTGGCCTCGCGTCCCGTGACGCATGAAACTTTTATCCGCGCGGTTAACTAGTCGCGTCGCGCGGTTTTTCATCGGTTCCGTTGCTTGTTATTAGCGGTCACCGGTGGCATTAGCGCGAGACCGTAATTCCACGTCTGTTCTAGTTACCTTATGTTAAACAGGAACGAGGGACAAGAGACGGGGACGGTAATTTGTGATCATTAACCGCGTCCTCGTGGAACCGTTTAATCCGAACGAAATTCCGATTTCCATAACTGGATGAACCGACGATGAAAAAGAGAAGCCAGGGGATGCGTCGCGCGTAAATGCAAAGATCGAAAAAGTCGTTTACCGAAACAGGTGCTGCTACCGAACAGATTTATTCGTTTCTTTACTTATTTATGGCTTCGGTACTTATATCGCGTCGAGAAACGTGCATATAGGGAGGGAATACTGACTGCATTAGCATTGTAATTGTCAAACGTTGCTTCAGAGGCGACAGACCACCCTGAAGGCTCCAAAAAATAAATTTCTTTCTACAATTTCTTAATACTCACATTTAGCTAATAAACGTATTTTTATGTTTATAATTCCTCGTGACATAAATGTCTGCCATGATGTTAGATCTTGCGATTAAATTTTCATACTAAGTGGAAATTGAATTTAGCAAATATCTTCCTTGAAGGGTTATATACTAATTGTAACTGGACATTCAATCCTTTAATTACATCAATAATGTCTTCAATATTGTGTATATCGAACGATGCAAATCGAGGGTGACGTCATTTTGCCAAAGGGTGGTCACAGGAAGGACGCGTCGTTTGATTTGTTGCGAGCCTCGCAATTAGCAATAGCCAAAGGTGGCGAAAAGTGGACGCTTAATTCGATGGAAGTCGTTAACAGTTCTAATACGATGCGTTGGCGCGTCTTATCTTTCGAGAGATCAATAAACCTGCTGCGAAACGGGCCGGGGAAAACTTAATATGCGCTCAATTCGAGCATAATCGTCCTTAATCGTTGTCATAATCGTCTTGCAAAACTCGCGAGCGTGAGACCTGTAATTTTTACACTACTGAACATTAATCGATGCCATAGAATTTTGTTCTCTTTAGTTCTGTTTCTTTAGTTTATTTTGTTCTGTTTAGTTCTCACTATGTTGGTCTTTTGAAGGGGAAGAGGTGAATACTAAACTTTTTATTTTGAAACAAAATTATGAAAAGTTGTCATTTACACTTTTCTAGTCGATATTAAGTTTTTCGAGCGAACGACACTCGTTTTAATTTTTAGAAAGTGGAGTTTGAAGAAACTCTAACTTCCAATCGTTATTTTTTTTAATTAATTAGTCATCCGTGTAATTTACCTGGCGAGTAAAATAAGGAAATGAAAACGAAAGGTCTCGATAAATGAACGAAAACTTCGTACGCGAGTGTACGTATACAAAAATATTCAATGTATTTCGGAAAATGAGTTTTTACAACGCAATGTTGGTATCAAATTGTTTTCGTCCCGCGAAATTATAATAAAATAAATAAACACCAAAAGGTACAAATATCGATCCGAAATATGTCTACGTAAAGTGCAAATATAAATAAAATAGATGAATTAAATTCGTTGTTCATGAACAATGGTCCTATCGTATGGTAAAGTAATTGAATCCTTTGGATTCACTATTTTTTGATTTCTCATTTACTTCCCTATAGTCGCGTTGCTTTTGACGCTTTTTTCGCTGATGTTGAAATTGGTCACCGAAGAAATTCCAAGTCGAAAAAAACTCATTATTATAAGTCGCTAAAAAAAAAATATACACGTCGACATAATTAATATATTAAAGTATTCAAATTCACAAGAGACAAAGGACCACAAAATTTTTAGGAACACAAATTTACATAGGATCACGTCAACAGATACAAATGTAAATCAGCTACAGTCAACTACAACGCGACGATTAAGGGCCACTAATTCTAAATTAGTTAGTGCACAGAACGAAAACAATTTACAAAATGTTTCATGTATTGCATAGTATAGTTTAAAAAAATTTACATTACAAGGAAAGTTTCCATTTGTTAAATAAAACATACATGAGACTAAATCTTTAAACGTTGATTACCATATTAATTTACGTCAATGAAGAAATTAGTCAATTCTTTTACTTTTGAATCCTATCACCCCCCCTTTAAAAATATTATTCTTCGTCCAAATTCATTGTTAAATACTAATATTATGATTGAGTGAAAATAATAAATTTTACTGTAAACATTCGAGTCCTTACACAATATTTCGACACCTCCACCATAAACAGAAAAATTACACAGATGTTAGTGGAACCTATTGGGTCCTCCTTGATCCCTAATTACTTTTTTCCTCCCACAACCCTTGCTCTTCCCCACGTCACAACAGCGAGAAGAATTTTTCAACATCCAAACAAGGACAAACGGTAACAAGATTCTCACATACCTAATTGCGTGTGGTCGGAGTTCCACATGATGGACTTGATTGGCAAATCCTTTTCCACCGGCACCGCATCCACAAAGCGATCAAGGCTCGCGAGAACCGGCATGATGGTATATTGTTTATGTTCTTCCCAGTACGACCATTGAACGACCAGTTCGCTGCTGAGCTTATTCCAAGCCAAGTTCTCCACCGCGCCGTAAAATTCAACGACACGATAACTCTGACAATCCAACTTGTTCACGTTCCACAGTGACAGCGAAGCGTCGCCCAAACCACCACCTATGCATAATAAGTCGTTTTCGTGCGGGTGCCAGACCATTGCCTGAAATTATACTTATCATAATCGCGTCTCAACGATACACGTCCTCTGAAACGTTTACAATCACCCGTCAATATCTTCGATCAACGCCTGAAATTATATTCAATAACGTCCCAACGATGTGGAAATTTACAATTTCCAGAATTTACATTTTCAGGTGAAAATCGGAGGTTACGGGTTGATATTCCTGTTAAAACTAAACTTACTTTTACTGGTTCGTAATACGTTAGGTCGAAACACGCTATCACGTCTGGCCAAACAATAAGGCGAACGGTCGAGTCCATAGCGGACGACACGAGGTATCGATAGTTGCTCGAAAAGCTAAGCTTCAATATTGGCGCGGTGTGCGCGATTGTCGAGTTGACAAGCTCGCCACTTGTCGCCAAATATATCGAGATCAGGCCATTACAGCCTCTGCAAAACAAGACACACTTTTCAGAATCGACCTTGTCGCCGTGCAATTTGATCTTTCAACTTTGGAAAGGAGACAGATTGTTTTTGAAATCTTTGAAAACTTCAACAAAAGTGCATCTGAGTGGCAAACGGTACAGTAGTACAGTAATGATTCTTAAAATGAACATGGTTCGTTGGGAGGGATAGAAATGTTCAGCTTACGAATTGCGCCTAAATAAATACTTACACGACAACGTGTTGGTCGTTTTTCGACCAGCAGACACAACGGGCGTAACACTGTGTGTTCAATTCGTTCACGCAGAAACACTTCTTGCTCCATGTTATCTTTTTCGTCCGTAAGCAGAACACTTTTGTGGAAGACGTCAGCGTGCATATGGCTAGCTTGTCACCTGTCAAAATACGCTTGCATCTTCGTTTCAATTATTATTTATATTGTGAATAATATAGATCGATGACGGTTACGACGTTTTGAATTTAGAATACAATTTAAGCTATTGCACTTACATGTTACTTGTCTAAGATTATATCTATTTCGTTACTTGTCAAAGAATATCAGAGTTATTTAGTAAAAATTTAATGCAATTACTTCTAGCTTTGAATATAATTGTATATGCACGGACGAACCATCGTTACTCCATTTCAGTGCGCAGAGATTGCTCGATTTCACGTTTTCCAGATATTTCGTCCCTTCGGATGTGTAGAGGAGAACTATCGAGTTCCTAGCAGCCGTCGCGATCACGTCTTTCGAGCTCCAATCCATAAAATTGTAATTAGATTCTGGAGAAACAAAGAAAAATTCGATGGTTCGCGCCAGGCTCAGTATTTCTTCTCATATTTTTATTTTACATTCAAATATTCAATATCGAGATTTAACTTTGTACGAGAACGATCGAATTTCGATAGTTCACTCTTTGAGCATTGCTTCGATTGTTTTAAATCCTTATTTAGAATAAAAGAAAAAATAAATAAATTCTTTACGAATTAAAAAGTACGGTCAAAAGTTGGACCAGAATGTCTTGAGCAACTTAAATGGACGCGTTTAAACGAAGTTTATAAAAATGTTCTAAATGTTTATTTGAATTATTCAATATCGAAATTTAATTTTGTACGAGAAAGATCGAATTTCGACAGTTCACTCTTCGAGCATTGCTTCGATTGTTCTAAATCCTTATTTAGAATAAACGGAAAACTAAATAAATTCTTTACGGATTGAAAAATACGGTCGAAAGTTGGAATGTCTTACTTGAGCAACTTTAATGGACGCGTTGAAACGAAGTTTATAAAAATGTTCTAAATGTTTATTTGAATTCTTACGTAGCGTTCTCGCCAATCCAGATACATCTAATATGGAGTCTATAACGTGTATTCCAGGCCTCTTTCGTGGCTTTGCTTTCCACATTCCGTCTGCGATGCATTCCTCGTTCCACAGGTCTTTAGGTAGGCCTGTCAAGTTTCCGTTTAACTTGTTTTCCGGAGATACTTGGTTGCCACGCATCACTCCTTTCTGTCTCAGACCTGGTATAACGTTTTCCTTCACCATTAATCGGTGCATGTTATTCTTTCGCCATTTTTCTGACAGAGAATCCATCTGTAGCGTTCATCACAATTTTGCATAGTTAATTTCGAGCAAAACTTCTCGATAGAAACGATAAAATGAGTAAATATCTTGGTTACGCTACTGGCAAAAGTGATTGGAGAATGTTTAGTTAATACAAAATAATTATTTTTCGTAAAGAAAAACACTGTTCTTATAAATAGTTTGTATCTTCTCCAGGAAGAGGCGAAATGCAAACACGAGTTTTGTGGTACGTCAGAGATAACTAATTCTCGATTCTTCTTCATTTTCTCAAGACGTCACGGGCTTAATTAGAAATAGATTTATCGCTCCTGCGGTAATTACGTTCGATCGATTAGGCGCTTAAACGCGAAAAATTGGAGCCGCTAACGATCGACATCGTTGCTCATCGCAACGATCGTTTATAACATATTCATCGATGAAGAAGGCTCAATGACGCGATATATAATAATTGCGTTTAACAATGACGGGATTTAATACAGTTTATGCGCGAAGTAACCAGATTAATAAAATAAACAACAGAGTTAAATTCTCAAAGCGAATAAGTGTCACTAACATGGCATATTTTACTTCGAAGTTGTAAAAATTATTTACATCCATACTTGTATAGATTGTGAACAAATTAGTAAACTTTAAAACTGTAAAGATTTACCTGAGAATCGATCGAACACACCGGATATATAAATATACTCGTGTTTTAATTTTTTATTAAACAAAGTTACGAAGCTTTATTGTAAAGAAATATTTAAATTGACCGAAAGATAGTAGAAGATAACCAAGTGATACATATATTATCGATTAAAGCAATTTCGGTATGAAATTGACAATATTTCGAACTTATCGAATAATCTATTAAATTTATTTTATAACATTCGATTTTAATTCCTCGAGTCTTTACTACTTTAACGATCATTTCTTACGATAATCCGATATAATCGATATCTGTATCGATAGTTCCGCCTTTGGTGCGCGGTGGTGAAAATGATGCAATTTCTCGAACGCCACGCGATCGTTTCGATTCCCTTCTTGCTTTTGCCTCAACGATATCGATTTCATCGATATCTCGTCGGTGCTATCGATATATCGAATTATGGATAACATTCCGATATAATCGATATCTTTATCAATAGTTCCACCATTAAAATTTTATCTCGAGAGAAGGAATAACTGTAAGTCTATGATTCCCGTGATCCTGTGATTCGTTTAACGAACTCGTCGACTTCCTCGTCCGGTTTTGTCACGAAAGTAAGCCGTGTTACGCAATTATGGCTATAAATCGCGTCGAGGAACGTTGTGCATCGATGAAGCTATTCGTAACGATCCATTAGGACAACCGTGATCAACCTGTGTTTATATTAAATTAAACTACAAAGTTTCACGACAAAAATTGCCAGAAATAAATTTAATTTTTAACAAACTTCGTTTTTAATTTATTTCATTTTTCTTCTACTTTATTCTGTCATACAGGTGTTCGCGTCGTTACTAACCAGTATTTAAAAGAATTCTTATTCTTATTTTTATTAAGTATAAATCTCTTATCAGTTAGGCAATTAAAGTACTGTTGCACCGTATTTAGGGTACCCAATTGGTATTGATCTAGTCCTCTAGTCGATATTCGAGACTATTAAGAGTTCTAAGCTTCGAAACGATTTGAATCTTCGTGCACGTAAAAAGTTGAAATTATTTCATAGTTGAGATTCCAATATCGCTAAATAAGAGTAAAATGAACCGTGCTTGTCGGATGTCAAGCAAGGAGGTAGCGTAACAGGCTCGCCTACGAGGACGGACGCAGAAAAAGGACGAAAGGCGAAGGAAACGCGAACGATATTACTATATCCCCGTCAGATATTATAGTAATGGTGAACGTTATACACAGGAAATTAATATATCCCGAGAATACGTACCGATGATTTTCAGATTCGCATTTAATTATAATTCTTCTTCGTTTTTTCTCAACTTTCTCTTTGTCACGATGGCATCAGAACGCAGTCAAGGTGCATCGATTATGAGAAACGAACATCGATGATCCAATTAAAAGAGTTTCCTTTATCAAACTCATCTTCATATTTGCTTTCACGATGCACGAATCAAAGGAACTAATTAGTTTCGCCTTGTTTAAGGGAATTGGTAATCTCAGAACCGTATAGATAATGAAAGCATAGTTTCAGATTTATGGAGCAAAGTTTATGGTACGAATAACCCCAAAGTAAAGCTTACCAGAAAATATGAACTTATAGAAATAACAACTAGAGATTTGAATCTATTTCCATATTGCAACAATAAAATAATTTTTTTGGGACGTGCTATACAACTTGACACATTATACATCCGTGTGTGCATTCATTTATTACGATTAATGCAACGAATGATATTTATTTCAAATAAATGAATCTCACGAATTGGCAGCAACTTGGAAGATTCTCGTTTGCATAAAGGAGAAAAAAGTTTATCAACAAATTATTAGCCCATGCAGAGTCACAGGAACAACTGTGCTATACAACTTGACAGATTATACATCCGTGTATGCATTTATTTATAACGATTAATGCAACGAATGATATTTATTTCAAATAAATGAATCTCACGAATTGGCTTAAACTTGGAAGATTCCGTGTTTGCATTAAGGAGAAAAAAGTTTATCAACAAACTATTAGCCCATGCAGAGTCACAGGAACAACTGTGCTATACAACTTGACACATTATACATCCGTGTGTGCATTTATTTATAATGATTAATGCAACGAATGATATTTATTTCAAATAAATGAATCTCACGAATTGGCTTAAACTTGGAAGATTCCGTGTTTGCATTAAGGAGAAAAAAGTTTATCAACAAAGTATTAGTCCATGCAAAGTCACAGGAACAACTGAGCTATACAACTTGACATATTATACATCCGTGTGTGCATTTATTTATAATGATTAATGCAACGAATGATATTTATTTCAAATAAATGAATCTCACGAATTGGCTTAAACTTGGAAGATTCCGTGTTTGCATTAAGGAGAAAAAAGTTTATCAACAAACTATTAGCCCATGCAGAGTCACAGGAACAACTGTGCTATACAACTTGACACATTATACATCCGTGTGTGCATTTATTTATAATGATTAATGCAACGAATGATATTTATTTCAAATAAATGAATCTCACGAATTGGCTTAAACTTGGAAGATTCCGTGTTTGCATTAAGGAGAAAAAAGTTTATCAACAAAGTATTAGTCCATGCAAAGTCACAGGAACAACTGAGCTATACAACTTGACATATTATACATCCGTGTGTGCATTTATTTATAATGATTAATGCAACGAATGATATTTATTTCAAATAAATGAATCTCACGAATTGGCTTAAACTTGGAAGATTCCGTGTTTGCATTAAGGAAAAAAAAGTTTATCAACAAACTATGAGCCCATCCACAGTCACAGGAACAACTGTGCTATACAACTTGACACATTATACATCCGCGTGTGCATTTATTTATAACGATTAATGCAACGAATGATATTTATTTCAAATAAATGAATCTCACGAATTGGCTTAAACTTGGAAGATTCCGTGTTTGCATTAAGGAGAAAAAAGTTTATCAACAAAGTATTAGCCCACGCAGAGTCATAGGAACAACTTTAATAGATATCGATAGTAATTTCGAGCTTCCAATCAACCATCGAGCAGGGCCAATTACCCGCTATTTTATAGTTCTGGAATTCATGTAGAATGGAAGAGGTGATTTGATGCGATGTTTCCAGAACAGAAGTTCTTTTTTCCGGACTATTTTCCCGACGTCTGAGAACAGTAATTTCCGCAAGGCGAGTTATTTCCCCGCCATGATTTCGATCTTATCTCTATCGATTATCGAAGATTACATACTCCCATCGATAAACACGAACGAGATCGTGCCCACATCCGGACGGCCTTTATGCTAATTCGACGCTTGACGCATGCACGTTGTTCCAACTACCGTTCAGGAACTTTTGACGCACGATTAAACATTTCTTAATATGTACTTTCAACGGCTGTCGACTCGTAAATCGATAGTTTAATAGAATTCGTAGAAATTGGTATTATGGTTAAAATAGTGGATTGTACAAATAGGAATATGTATAGCTCAATTAAACTGATTAAAAATATCAATGAACCGCTTAAGCCTTCTTTCAAAACCACCTAGGCGCAGTAAAATGTATTTACGACGTTTTGTTTCGATAAATTATCGAAGGAGATAATTAAAATGAAACGTTCGACTGCGAATGTTGGCCAACGAAACTCATAAAATACGAAGGAACCGTGCTAGAAAATCTCTAAATAATCCAACGTGGCTGTGTAAAAAGTAACTAATTTGAAAGTAATTTACTCATGGAGAATATTAATCATACCTGGTCAAACACATTGAGCTCGTGCTCCTTTTCTGGATCGTGTGGACGCTTTTTCGTAAGATTGTAGTTCGCCGCATCGAAGTTGTATTTGCCTCTTTGCACTATGAATCTGTCTTCCGAGTAATTCTTTTTCCTGGCAATACGCGTAAAGACGGGATGGTAAGTGGCGGCTGGTAACTTTGCGTCTTTCTGAAAAATATAAAAACAACGTTTCAATTAGTGAAAAATGTTACGAAGCGTAAAATAAAAATTCGAATACTGTAGCAATAATCCTTTGGAACCACGCAAAATTTCAACTATTGCACATCGTGTACAGGTTTATAAAAACCTCTGATATTTAATCATTTATATGTATAGTTGTTGAATAGTTTAACGACAATTTCTCTCTTTTCTGTCAATAAATAGTTTCCAAGCATTAAGATAGCCTCGATTGTCCAAATTCTAATGGCGTCGTGAATTTAGAAAATTGGACAACAAAAGACAATGTAAAAAATTTCACTTATTGCACATCGTGTGCAGGTTTATAAGAACCTCTGTTATTCATTTATTTATATAGTTATTGAATAGTTTATCTACAATTTATCTCTTTACTGTCAATAAATAGTTTAGACAACAAAAGAGTCACTTTTGGAATAATCTCCCATACAATTTAGAGCACTTACATTAGGTGACTTGGGCTAGAATTACAGTGGATTTTATTTTCTACCGTTTTTGATACGAATAATTATTTTGAAAAAAAAAAATATGTATCCGATTGTTTCGACAAGAAAGAGACGAACAAGTTACCATTTCATCGAAAATTAAAACGACATTAAAGACATCGGAAGACAAGACAATTTTAGAAAGTTGGACAACAAAGGAGTCAGTTTTGACTTAATCTCCCATACAATTTAGAACATTTACATTAGGTGACTCGGGCTACAATTACAGTGGATTTTATTTTCTACTGTTTTTGATACGAATAATTATTTTACAAAAAAAATATGTATCCGATTGTTTCGACAAGAAGGAGACAAACAAGTTACCATTTCGACGAAAATTAAAACGACATTAAAGACATCGTTGCTAGAATTAAATACGACACTAATGAAATATGAGGATTATAACTTCCAGAGTCCGGACTTGGATTTTCGAACGTGCAAACCTGTATTTATTAGTCTCGGTGCACCGTGGCGTTCGAGTCTTATCGCGAGAAATTCCTATAAATACGCCTGGGCCCTTCTTCTGCTGCACGAACGGCCACGAGCAACGCGCTTCTGCCTGGATTTCCGGGACGATACTTTAAACGGGAAAGCAGAAAGGTGGCATCCTAATTCCGAGTTACGATGGCGTTCCCTCGAGGCCGTTCTCTCGGCCGTAACGGTGAACGATCGTCCATTTAAATCGTCCGTATCGCGATTTATTGCTCTTTGCTCCTGGTTCTACGTCATTCCGTTTCTTGCGAGGACCGTTCCTATAATTGGTAGCGTGCAGTCGCCTTTTTTCCTCCCCGGTGAAGCTCCGGTAAATTTCAACTAGCTCTCCGAATCGATAAACACCCCTCGTTCCAACCCAACGGCGAAATTGGTAATTTAAAAAAACATTAACCAACGTTGGTACAAAAAAAAATACAATATTAGATTCTTATTTCAATAGTCGACGAGATTCACTGCCGCGTTTACAAATAGGGGGGTGCTATTTCACGCGGAGGAATTGAAAAATGGAATCCTCAAGATACGCCAAAAAAAATTAATGTTAACGTTGGTATAGGAAAATTAATATTAACGTTGGTATAGGAAAAATACAAAATTAGTTCTTATTTCAATAGTTGAAAGATTGACTGTCACGTTTACAATTGAGGGGTGCAATTCCACGTGAGGAATTGAAAAATGGATTCTCAAGATACATCAAACAAAATTAACATTAACCAACGTTGATATACGAAAAATACGAAATTGGATTCTTACTTTAATACTTTACGAGATTGACTGTCGCGTTTACAAATGGGGGGTCCAATTTTACGCGGAAAAATTGAAAAATGGAATTCTGAATATACGTCAAAGAAAATTATTATTAACCAACGTTGGTATAAAAAAAATACAAAATTAGATTCTTCTTTTAATAGTTGACGAGATTGACTGTCGCGTTTACAACTGGGGGGGTGCAATTCCACGCGGAGGAATTGAAAAATGGAATTCTAAAGATACATCAAACAAAATTAACATTAACCAACGTTGATATACGAAAAATACGAAATTGGATTCTTACTTTAATACTTTACGAGATTGACTGTCGCGTTTACAAATGGGGGGTCCAATTTTACGCGGAAAAATTGAAAAATGGAATTCTTAAGATACGTCAAACAAAATTAACATTAACCGACGTTGGTATAGGAACAATACAAAATTAGATTCTTATTTCAATAGTTGACAAGATTGGCTGTCGCGTTTACAAACGGGGGGTCCAATTTTAGGCGGAAAAATTGAAAAATGGAATTCTAAAGATACATCAAACAAAATTAACATTAACCAACGTTGATATACGAAAAATACGAAATTGGATTCTTACTTTAATACTTTACGAGATTGACTGTTGCGTTTACAAATGGGGGGTCCAATTTTACGCGGAAAAATTGAAAAATGGAATTCTTAAGATACGTCGAAAAAAATTAACTGAATGAGGGTTAGAAATTTTTTAAAAATTGTAAAAATAAAAACGACAATTTTAGCTTTCTTAAGAAAAAATGAGGAAAGCAGCATATAGCATGATTATTATATTACGAAACTTTCAATAGTCTAAAAAAAAAGTTGTTATATATAAATACTTTTTATTAAATCGCATGCATAAAAAGTATCAAAAATGTCGACGAAACGAAATTAAATTCCAAACTATTTGAATCGACAAGAATCAAATTGAAGTATTCAACAATTTTGTAAACTGTTCTTTTCGCTAACTTTTATTATTTATTATATATTTGATTGCAAATATCACCCAACATCGAATAACAAATATGAAACCCTATAATTCTTTTGCAACGTGCATATTGGAAACGTAGTCGATTGAAATTAAAAAATTTGTATTAAATTTATAAACGTTTTGTTAGGCGAAATACATCGTTTGTACGAGTGTGAAGGGTAAGTATAAAGGGAAAAGGGTCGTGTATAGATCTCGAGTTCGAAGGAATCCTGCGTGTAGCAACCCCTTCAGCACCTTGCAACAGGAGATTCCAGCGTTAATATTGGTCAGACAGGTTTAGTAACGTGGTCTAGACAAGACTTCAACAGTGGCCGGTCATCTTCGCTGGGGGTCCTCTGTGTTTCCGACGTCTGTGGGAAAATATTACAGAATTTTCTACCGTGTATTCTAAGGCAGCTGTTTGGTATTTTTAGAGCTTAGCTTCATGCAAATCGGACGTTAGGTGGCTCGATTTATTGGCGTCACGTTGCTGAAGACTGAAAATATCAGAAGCGTTCGTGGGACACGATTTGAGCCCCAGCCACCTAAACCAGTAGACGTTAACAACGCTTGTAAACTAAGGAAATGTACAGCAAGTTTCATCGAGCAATTATCCAGGAGTAAAGCGTGCACCTGACCATCATTTTACACGATTTTACAGCTGCAACAGATCCGTTCGCAATTACACAAATTATGACTGATGCTTGAAACGATTCCGATCGAACCAATATTGATAACGATGAAAACGCTACGTCGTAAAATCGTAGATCATCGCTGATTCGATTTTCGTGCGAACGAACCTTTTAATTACTCGAATAGAAATTTTCTTGGCAAACAAACAGAAACACTCAACGCGCGTTTTACGAGCAGGTTCACCGGGCAAGTTACCGTGGGCGCTCGACGATTGATTTACTCGGACATAAAAGAAGATAACTCATCGTTAGAATCGACTGTACTGTGCGGAGATGACTTGCTGGCTAAGCAGACTGATTGGCTGCACCGTAATAGCGCCGCCTTTGCTCCGCGGATTATACTACAATTCCTAAACGTATCGAGACATAGTACGGATAGAGTCACGGCGACATTGGCGTAGGCTCAAAATATCGGCTGTAAATATTATACGGCGGTAATAATTCTGAAGAGGAAAACAATAACGAGACATCTTTCCACGGAATTAACAATCCAAAGTATACTGGCCACAATGTCCAATATATTGTATCACGAGTTGCACATGCAAAGAAATGAAAGTCAAACTTATCGACGATCAATTAGCAAATTTCTGAGATATAAGAATCATCTTTGGTGGAAAGTAATTTTGCTTTAACTCTGCATGGACCAAATGTTTTTCTTAAATATAAACTTGCATTTACTTTGATATTTCAGGTTCTTGTCAACCGTCATCAATATTGTTATTGGTTATCTCAGAGACATTATATATTAAGTGTACAACTTTGCTTCCGCCGTTTTTCCCGAAATCTTTCGGCTTCAACTCGTACGGCATTCCATTTTCTTGCTTCTGAATCATTCCAATGGCTTTGAGGCGTCTTGAAATGACTTGTTGAGTCACTCCCAATGATCGTACCAATTCTCTTTGAGTTTGACACGAGTCGTGATCAAGTAATGCCTCCAATTTTACATCTTCGAAAACCTTTTCTCTTCCACCGGTATGCCGGTTCTCAACGTCAAAATCACCATTCTTGAAGCGTTGAAACCACTCACGACACGTTCTTTCACTAATAGCGGCCTCCCCATAAGTATTTGAGAGCAGTCGATGAACCTCAGACGCAGATTTCTTCATATTGAAGCAGAAAATTAAAACCTCTCGCAATTCACGAGAATTTGGATCGTAAACTGGCATATTCAATCGAGAATAACTTTATGATGCAGACACAAAGGTGTAGACATTATTATCGCAATATCCGTAAACAACCACTAACAAAAATTCGACGTCAAATGCATGGAGGTGGATTAATGGTTTGGGTTAGGTGTGTTCATCCGACCTTAATATCATCGAGAATTGCTGGACAAGTAGTATATACTGACGGCTGACAATTTACAAATATAAATGAATTAAAAACTTGCATTACAACTGAATGGGGAAATTTAGTTCAAAGAAAAATTAAAGAATTATATAATTCTTTACCTTAAAGGATGGTGCAAGTCATAGAAAACAAAAGGAGGTCGTACACATTATTAGAAAAATATACTTTAGTATATACAGGGTGTTCGGCCACATCTGGGAAAATTTTGATGAG